ATATATGTGTCTATGATAGATGTGTCTATGATAGATGTGTCTATGATAGATGTGTCTATGATAGATGTGTCTATGATGGATGTGTCTATGATAGATGTGTCTATGATAGATGTGTCTATGATAGATGTGTCTATGATAGATGTGTCTATGATACATATGTCTATGATACATGTGTCTATGATAGATGTGTCTATGATAGATGTGTCTATGATAGATGTGTCTATGATAGAGGTGTCTATGATACATGTGTCTATGATAGATGTGTCTATGATAGATGTGTCTATGATAAATGAGTATATGAGGGATGTGTCTATGATAGATGTGTCTATGATAGATGTGTCTATGATAGATGTGTCTATGATGGATGTGTCTATGATAGATGTGTCTATGATAGATGTGTCTGTGATAGATGTGTCTATGATAGATGTGTCTATGTTAGATATGTCTTTGATAGATGTGTCTATGATAAATGTGTCTATGACGGATGTGTCTATGATAGATGTGTCTATGATAGATATGTCTTTGATAGATGTGTCTATGATAGATGTGTCTATGATAGATGTGTTTATGATAAATGTGTCTATGATAGATGTGTCTATGATAGATGTGTCTATGATAGATGTGTCTATGATAGATGTGTCTATGATAGATGTGTCTATGATAAATGTGTATATGATAAATGTATCTATGATAAATGTGACTATGATAGATGTGTCTATGATAGATGTGTCTATGATAGATGTGTCTATGATAGATGTGTCTATGTTAGATATGTCTTTGATAGATGTGTCTATGATAAATGTGTCTATGATGGATGTGTCTATGATAGATGTGTCTATGTAGATGTGTCTATGATAGATGTGTCTATGTTGATTAGTCTTGATAGATGTGTCTACTGATAATGGTCTTGATGATGTGTCTATGATGATGTGTCTATGATAGATGTGTCTATGAAGATGGTCTTGAAGATTGTGGTCTATGAGATGTGTCTATGATAGATGTGTCTATGATAGATGGGTCTATGATAGATGTGTCTATGATAGATGTGTCTATGATAGATGTGTCTATGATAGATGTGTCTATGATAGATGTATCTATGATAAAGTATCATGATAGATGTGTCTATGATAGATGTGTCTATGATAGATGTGTCTATGATAGCTGTGTCTATGATAAATGTGTCTATGATAGATGTGTCTATGATAGATTTGTCTATGATAAATGTGTCTATGATAAATGTATCTATGATAAATGTGTCTATGATAGATGTATCTATGATAGATGTGTCTATGATAGATGTGTCTATGACAAATGTGTCTATGATAGATATGTCTATGATAAATGTGTCTATGATAGATGTATTTATGATAGATGTGTCTATGATAGATGTGTCTATGATAAATGTGTCTATGATAGATGTATCTATGATAGATGTGTCTATGATAGATGTGTCTATGATAGATGTGTCTATGATAGATGTGTCTATGATAAATGTGTCTATGATAGATGTGTCTATGATAGATTTGTCTATGATAAATGTGTCTATGATAAATGTATCTATGATAAATGTGTCTATGATAGATGTATCTATGATAGATGTGTCTATGATAGATGTGTCTATGATAAATGTGTCTATGATAGATGTGTCTATGATAAATGTGTCTATGATAGATGTGTCTATGATAAATGTGTCTATGATAGATGTGTCTATGATAAATGTATCTATGATAAATGTGTCTATGATAGATGTATCTATGATAGATGTGTCTATGATAGATGTGTCTATGATAGATGTGTCTATGATAGATGTGTCTATGATGGATGTGTCTATGATAGATGTGTCTATGATGGATGTGCCTATGATAGATGTGTCTATGATAGATGTGTCTATGATAAATGTGTCTATGATAGATGTTTATGATAGATGTGTCTATGATGGATGTGTCTATGACAGATGTGTCTATGATAGATGTGTCTGTGACAGATGTATCTATGATAAATGTATCTATGATAAATGTGTCTATGATAGATGTGTCTATGATAGATGTGTCTATGATAGATGTGTCTATGATGGATGTGTCTATGATAGATGTGTCTATGATAAATGTGTCTATGATAGATGTGTCTATGATAGATGTGTCTTTGATAATTGTGTCTATTATAGATGTGTTTATGATGTGTCTATGATGGATGTGTCTATGATAGATGTGACTATGATAGATGTGTCTTTGATAAATGTGTTTTTGATAGATGTGTTTATGATAGATGTGTCTATGATGGATGTGTCTATGATAGATGTGTCTATGATAGATGTGTCTATGATAGATGCGTCTATGATAGATGTGTCTATGATAGATGTGTCTGTGATGGATGTGTCTATGATAGATGTGTCTATGATAGATGTGTCTATGATAGATGTGTCTATGATAGATGTGTCTATGATAGATGTCTCTATGATAGATGTGTCTATGATAGATGTGTCTATGATACATGTGTCTATGATAGATGTGTCTATGATAGATGTGTCTATGATACATGTGTCTATGATAGATGTGTCTATGATAGATGTGTCTGTGATGGATGTGTCTATGATAGATGTGTTTATGATGGATGTGTCTATGATAAATGTGTCTGTGATAGATGTCTGTATGATAGATGTGTCTATGATAAATGTGTCTGTGATAGATGTCTGTATGATAGATTTGTCTATGATAAATGTGTCTATGATAGATGTGTCTATGATAGATGTGTCTATGATAGATGTGTCTATGATAGATGTGTCTATGATACATGTGTCTATGATAGATGTGTCTATGATAGATGTGTCTGTGATGGATGTGTCTATGATAGATGTGTTTATGATGGATGTGTCTATGATAAATGTGTCTGTGATAGATGTCTGTATGATAGATGTGTCTATAATAAATGTGTCTATGATAGATTGTTCTATGATAGAGTGTCTATGATAAATGTGTCTATGATAGATGTGTCTATGATAGTTGTGTCTATGATAGATGTGTCTATGATAGTTGTGTCTATGATAGATATGTCTATAATAGATGTGTCTATGATAGATGTGTCTATGATAGCTGCGTCTATCGTAGATGTGTCTATGATAGATGTGTCTATGATAGATATGTCTATGACAGATGTGTCTATGATGGATGTGTCTATGATAGCTGTGTCTATCGTAGATGTGTCTATGACAGATGTGTCTATGATAGATATGTCTATGATAGATATGTCTATGATAGATGTGTCTTTGATAGATGTGTCTATGATAGATATGTCTATGATAGATATGTCTATGATAGATGTGTCTATGATAGATGTGTCTATGGTAGATATGTCTATGATAGATGTGTCTTTGGTAGATGTGTCTATGATAGATATGTCTATGATAGATGTGTCTATGATAGATGTGTCTATGGTAGATGTGTATATGATAGATATGTCTATGATAGATATGTCTATGATAGATGTGTCTATGGTAGATGTGTCTATGATAGATGTGTCTATGATAGACGAGATGAATCATAAAAGAGATGAGATAAGAAACATAGAATAACTGGAGTGTTGATAATCAAGACAACGTTTGCAACACTTGGATGTCACTACCGAAACTTCTCGCCTACACCTCAGGCTTCTTCACTTAAATACAGACGAATGCAATACCGGAAGCAATAGAAGTATACACTTAAGTTTTGCAAATGAGACTTATTCATCAACTTGACGGTATTCTATACCATGAATAATATAAGAGGAATCTTGATACGTCGGTGAACTGGAGGAGGTTTATCAATGTAGGTAAAAAACGGAGGAATATACCCAAGTGTATTGATGTCAATATGGATGTGAAGACAGTCTTCAGATGTTGATGTGAGGAGGAGGCTGGAGGCAGTGGTGATGTTTTTATATTGAGAAAGTGGCGTGAATACCATTCAATGGAAAAAGACTAAAGAAATTAGAAGTTGCTCTGATGGTACGAGGGATATAACTGCAGAAAACTGAAGAGGGAATTGAGATGGTTTTCTTATTTAGAAAGGGATGAGCAGAATAGGTTCCCAAGAGGGTGTATAAATGTGGGGTGGAAGGAAGAAGGGGCCGAGATTGCCCACTCTTGACAGGGCTAGAGGAAGAGTGTGAGAAAGTCATGTGTGAGTGTATCAGGCAGAGAAGTTGAAGTGCTGTTGGAGTGTGAGCAAACTAACATTTATGAAAGAATTCAGGGAAAACGGGTTAACCGGATTTGAGTCCTGGCGACGAGAAGTACAGCATCACAATTCTAGAAGATTAGTAGGGAAAGTTGTAGTTCATGGGTAATTTTAAATGTGATGTCTACATACTTCTGACAAGACAGCTGTTAACTGAACGATAATGAATGCGTTTCCGTTTTTTTGATCACCGTACTTTGGTGGATATGTGTGTGTGTGTGTGTGTGTGTGTGTGTGTGTGTGTGTGTGTGTGTGTGTGTCGTACCAAATAGGTAAAACTGGTCAATTAGCAAGAACTCATTTAAAATTAAGTGCTTTCTAAAAATTTCTCTTATACGTTTAAAGATATATTTTTTTCATTTATGTTAATGTAAAAATTAATAATTTTGTACCAAAAGAACCTTAGAAAACTTACCTAACCTTATTATATCAAGCGCAATTTAATTTAGCCTAATTAGCGAAATTATTGCATACACAAATTTTTGCTTGCCTTATTTGGCAAGAAGAGCGTTACTATTTAAGCCAAAATCGCACGTTTTACCTATTCGGCATGACATATATATATATATTAATATATAATATATATATATATATATATATATATATATATATATATATATATATATATATATATATATATATATACATAATATATATATATATATATATATATATATATATATATATATATATATATATATAATATATATATATATTATATATATAATATATATATATATATATATACAGTATATGAGCTTTATTACTAAAAAAAAAATCTGAGAATGTAGCGGTGAAGGTAACGTCCCACTAGTCAGACCTAAACATGCAAGAGAGAGAGGTAAATCATGGTATTATCTGCTGGCCCACGTCTCCTGCCACGTCCCTTCCCACTGATAAGTAACAACCAATGTCTTCATCATGCTAACTAATATGTAAGAGCGCACACGTACCCCTGAACTCAAGTCTTGAATGCTGTACAGCATTTTTTGTTTTTTTACTCTGAATTTTTCGAAACTGTTCATATTCTGTACCAAGGAGGAGGTATGCTAATACATTCATCGAACCTCTCTGAATCTTTAATGTTCTTTTACACGATGGCTGGCATCATAATTTCGGTTTCTTTAAGTGACACCAAAGATTTATCGGAGAAAGTCTTAAGGACCAGTCTCGCAGCTTGTTTGAGAACAGACGTAAGTAATTAGTGGGCTACCAACGTCAAGCTTGTCCGGAGAATCACAAGAACGTTTCCTTGTCTACACAGGGCCTTCGTCATGATACAGGAAGAGTATGTTTGGTTTCTCCCCAGCAGCGAGGCAGTTCGGTTCCCAGAAGGAGCAACGTGACGGTATCAGTGTCTGGGCCAGAAGACAGGTACGAGAAGGTTTCCAGATTGTCTTGGTAGTTGCAAGAGTCGGAGGCTCCATATAGGAGAGACACTAACTCGGAATCTGTGGTTGGGTGCTCTGAGTCCTGCTGCTGCTGCCGCTGAGTTTTGCTAGGAAATGTGCTGGGGTTGTAGTGGTGGACAGACTGGGGTTGCTGAGGGCTGGGAGCGTCACTGAAGATACTGGAGAGGACCCAGGAGTAGGTGTCTTGCTGAGCGTTGCCGTCCAGAATGTCTTGGAGGGACCTAATGTAGGCTGAAGCCAGCTTTAATGTTGTGATCTTGGTCAGGTCAGAGGAGGCTCTTCGACTACATACCCATGACGGCAACACACCACGCAGGCTATCAAAGGCGGTGTTGATCTGCCTCATACGGTACCTCTCGCGGGCGTTGGCAGTCTTCCTGCGGTACCTGGAGAGAGGCGGCGGCCGCGGCTTATGCCGCAGCGTGTCCTGGAAGCTCCACTCACTGTCGTAACAATGCCGCACTTTGACGGAGCGCGGCCGCAGCTGGTACTTGAGACCTGCAACTCCGGCCTTCTTGTTGCTATTGACGTTTTGACAGCTGGTAAAGTCGCTGCTGTCCTTGTCGGGATTTCCAGTATGGTGCAAGTCGTTGTCGTTTCTGTGTTTGCTACAGTCATTGTCATTGTTGTTATCATCCACTGACACTGTCACCTGTTCATGCACACTCACTGCAGTTTCTGATTTTGCCATGATGGGAGGACACGATCAGTACTCTGCTGAAGCTTTCAAGGTAAAGTAAGGTAGCAACCTCACTTAATCTTGAATCGTATATACGCCAAAGTTAGGGCAGAAGTACCATAATATCCTCGTCTGACCCACCTTTTCTTCTCGAGTCTCGACCACCTGCAGCATAAAAACAAAAATACCAAATTTATAATTAAAAATAGAAAACGCTTTTTTTCGGTTTTATTTGGTTCTTTCACCACGTCAAGTCCATTAGTGGCCCAGTGACTGGGTAGAAGCAGGGGCTAAAATTAGGAGCACCCTTCGTGTAGCCTTACCCAGAAGGGAAGGAGGCAAGCTGGCAGGAGTAGTACCACACGTATTCTCGGACAGGCAGAGCCTAAACCACTGAGCACTCACCTCTGCGTGTACCCCACACAGCTGAGTCTTCTCTCCCTCCCTCCCTCTCTCTCTCTCTCTCTCTCTCTCTCTCTCTCTATCCGTACCCCCCTCTCTCTCCTGCCCTGTACAGCCACTAGACACAATACCCGTGATTCCTAGCATATTTCGCCTGTTTTCGTCGTTTCATCTTATTTTATCGAGATTCTCCCGTTTTTTTTGTTTGTGGCAAGCCATTCAGGGGTCAGACGAGATGACTGTGGTGTCTGACGTGCCTGGGTCACCTTGTGTCACCCAGTAATGGATGCGTTTGTGAGCAGCTTTGACCTGGCTGGGAGAGGTCACCCCGGCCTTGACTCCACACACACACACACACACACACACACATGAAAGCTTTACCAACGTACGTACCTTTCGAGGAGGGAGGGGAGCCTTGATGCTTGTGAAGGGCTCTTGATCCAAGAAATTGACACTACCTCCTTCCCTGTCCTCGGATCGGACCTAACAACCTCCCATTTCCCACCTGCTGTGACCCCCCTCGGGTCACTTAACCAGTTACATTACTGTCCCTGTTTCATCAGTTGGAGTTTTTTTGTAAGTGGGAAAGCTTGTTGGGATCGTCCTAGTGAATGTATTATTATTATTATTAATTATTATTATTATTATTAACTATCATTATTATTATTATTATTATTATTATTATTATTATTAACTATCATTATTGTTATTATTATTATTATTATTATTATTATTAAGTGAAGTGCTAAACCAGTGTGGGTCATTCAGCGGAGGAGTGTTGAAGGCTCGATCCTCCGCTCCTCTAAGCGGGTTTATTAAATTCGCAATAAGCGTCACTTTCTTAACTTTAAATAAGCTTCTCAACTGTAAAAGGCGTCGCCAAGGGTACCACTTAAGAATACACAAACACGTAAAAAAGAAATGCTTCAACCCCCCCCCTCCCTCCTCAATAAAGGGACTGACCAAAACTCTCATTGTATAAAGAACGAATTAGTTAATTTAGGTTTGAATTCCATCGACTGCACGAGGGTCATTAAGTCTACAATATACTTCTGTACTAATGATCAAGAATGCTTTGATCTCTAAAAAAAAGTTGTACACTTTTAGGTGTATACGTGAATATATTATATTATATTTTAATTTTATGTTTAGGATACCTGCTATGGTACGACTTTTATTTTTTTAAAGAAAAGACCCAGAGTGGAGAATAAGTTTTTGTTGGACGCTGTATCCCCTGAAACCTGTATTACTAGTAGGCTGCAGGTGTTTGTCGAATCTAGCTTAGATCAACACTAGTTGGCTCCAGAGGCTTGTTGAAAATAATCTAGATCACTAGTAGGCTCCAGGAACTCGTCGAATCTAACCTAGATCACTAGTGGGCTCAAGGTGCTTGTTCAGTCTAGCCTAGATCACTAATGCGCTTAAGTTCCTTGTTCAATACATCCTTGTAGATTTGTAAGCGGGTTCCAAGTGCTTGTTCAGTGATATACATGGTGTTCCACTATAACCATCACAGTGTGTTGACATTCAGTGTATATATTATATATATATATATATATATATATATATATATATATATATGTATTTCTATGTGCATACACGCTGCAAGTTTACCATAATCTCTATCTTAGTGCTTAAAGTGGTCGTAATATTTGTGCTCAGGTGATCTGCTCTCTCCATGCCTCTGGTGCTGAGATTAATAACCTCACATAACAAAATGAACCGGTCGTATGTTAGTTACATCTAGCGATGTCTCTCCTGGGTTGAAGATTTTTAACTATGTGCTTAGTAATACACATCGAAATTCACATTATTATTATTATTATTATTATTATTATTATTATTATTATTATTATTATTTGATTGGTTGTATTATTATTATTATTTATTATTAACACATCGGCCGTTTCCCACCAAGGCAGGGTGGCCCGAAAAAGAAAAAAAATCATCAATCACTCCATCACTGTCTTGACAGAGGCATGCTTACACTACAGTTATAAAACTGCAACATTAACACCCCTCCTTCAGAGTGCAGACACTGTACTTCCCATCTCCAGGACTCAAGTCCATCCTGCCGGTTTCCCTGAATCCCTTCATAAGTGTTACATTGTTTACACTCCAACAGTACGTCAAGTCCTAAAATCCATTTGTCTTCATTTGCTCCTATCTAACACGCTCACGCATGCCTGCTGGAAGTCCAAGCCCCTCGCACACAAAACCTCCTTTACCCCCTCTCTCCAACCTTTCCTAGGCCGACCCCTACCTCGCCTTCCCTCCACTACAGATTTATACACTCTCGAAGTCATTCTAATTTGCCCCATTCTCTCTATATGTCCAAACCATCTCAATAACCCCTCTCCACCCTTCTGGATAATAGTTTTGGTAATCCTGCACCTCCTCCTAATCTCCAGACTACGGATTCTCTGCATTATATTCACACCACACATTGCCTTCAGACATGATATCTTAATTGCCTCCAGCCTTCTCCGTGTTGCAACATTTACAAACCAAGCTTCACACCCATACAAGAGCGTTGGTGTAACTATACTCTCATACATTCCCCTCTTTGCTTTCATGGATAAAGTTCTTTGTGTTCAGAGACTCCTCAGTGCACCACTCACCTTTTTCCCCTCGTCAGTTCTATGATTCACCTCATTCTTCATAGATCCATCTGCTGACACGTCTACTTCCAAATATCTGAATACATTCACCTCCTCCATACTCTCTCCCTACAATCTGATATCCAATCTTTCGTTACCTATTTTTTTTTGTTATCCTCATCACCTTACTCTTTCCTGTATTCACTTTTAACTTCCTTTTTTACATACTCTACCAAACTCATCAACCAACCTCTGAAACCTCTCTTCAGAATCTCCCAAAAGCACAGTGTCATCAGCAAAGAGCAACTGTGACAACTTCCACTTTGTGTTTGATTCTTTATCTTTTAACTCCACGCCTCTTGCCAAGACCCTCGCATTCACTTTTCTTACAACTCCATTTATATTGTGTCCTTTTAAATAAAAATATAAAAAAAAACTCCATTTATAAATGTATTAAACAACCACGGTGACATCACACATCCTAGTGTAAGGCCTACTTTTACTGGGAAATAATCTCCCTCTCGCCTACATACTCTAACTTGAGCCTCACTATCTTCATAAAGACTCTTTATTAATTTATTATTTCCACACATTTACAACATCTGCCAAATTGCCCTCCTGTCCACCCTGTCATACGCCTTTTCCAAATCCATAAATGCCACAAAAACCTCTTTACTCTTATCTAAATACTGTTCACTTATATGTTTCACTGTAAACACTTGGTCCACACACCCCCTACCCTTCCTAAAGCCTCCTTGTTCATCTTCTATCCTACTCTCTGTCTTAATTCTTTAAATAATAACCACACCATACACTTTACCAGGTGTACTCAACAGTCTAAACTTATTCCCCTACAATTTTTACACTCTCTTTTGTCCCCTTTGTCTTTATACAAAGGAACTATGCATGCTCTCTGCCAATCTCTAGGTACCTTACCCTCTTCCATGCATTTATTAAATAAAAAAACACTAACCACTCCAAAACTATATTATTATTATTATTATTATTATTATTATTATTATTATTATTATTATTATTAATATTATTATTATTATTATTATTATTGTTGTTGTTTTATCAGTAACAGTGGAGATAATAGTGTATAATGGGTGGTGGGTAGGTTGAGAGTGGGTGGTGGGCAGGTTGAGAGTGGGTGGTGGGTAGGTTGAGAGTGGGTGGTGGGCAGGTTGAGAGTGGGTGGTGGGTAGGTTGAGAGTGGGTGGTGGGCAGGTTGAGAGTGGGTGGTGGGTAGGTTGAGAGTGGGTGGTGGGCAGGTTGAGAGTGGGTGGTGGGTAGGTTGAGAGTGGGTGGTGGGCAGGTTGAGAGTGGGTGGTGGGTAGGCTGAGAGTGGGTGGTGGGCAGGCTGAGAGTGGGTGGTGGGCGGGCTGGGAGTGGGTGGTGGTCAGGCTGAGAGTGGGTGGTGGGCAGGTTGAGAGTGGGTGGTGGGAAGGCTGAGAGTGGGTGGTGGGCAGGCTGAGAGTGGGTGGTGGGCAGGCTGAGAGTGGGTGGTGGGCGGGCTGAGAGTGGGTGGTGGGTAGGCTGAGAGTGGGTGGTGGGCAGGTTGAGAGTGGGTGGTGGGAAGGCTGAGAGTGGGTGGTGGCAGGCTGAGAGTGGGTGGTGGGCGGGCTGAGAGTGGGTGGTGGGCAGGCTTAGAGTGGGTGGTGGGCAGGTTGAGAGTGGGTGGTGGGAAGGCTGAGAGTGGGTGGTGGGCAGGCTGAGAGTGGGTGGTGGGCAGGCTGAGAGTGGGTGGTGGGCGGGCTGGGGGTGGGTGGTGGTCAGGCTGAGAGTGGGTGGTGGGCAGGTTGAGAGTGGGGGGTGGGAAGGCTGAGAGTGGGTGGTGGGCAGGCTGAGAGTGGGTGGTGGGCAGGCTGAGAGTGGGTGGTGGGCGGGCTGAGAGTGGGTGGTGGGTAGGCTGAGAGTGGGTGGTGGGCAGGTTGAGAGTGGGTGGTGGGAAGGCTGAGAGTGGGTGGTGGGCAGGCTGAGAGTGGGTGGTGGGCGGGCTGAGAGTGGGTGGTGGGCAGGCTGAGAGTGGGTGGTGGGCAGGTTGAGAGTGGGTGGTGGGCAGTTTGAGAGTGGGTGGTGGGCAGGCTGAGAGTGGGTGGTGGGCAGTTTGAGAGTGGGTGGTGGGCAGGCTGAGAGTGGGTGGTGGGCAGGCTGAGAGTGGGTGGTGGGCGGGCTGAGAGTGGGTGGTGGGCAGGCTGAGAGTGGGTGGTGGGCAGGCTGAGAGTGGGTGGTGGGCGGGCTGAGAGTGGGTGGTGGGCAGGCTGAGAGTGGGTGGTGGGCAGTTTGAGAGTGGGTGGTGGGCAGGCTGAGAGTGGGTGGTGGGCAGTTTGAGAGTTGGTGGTGGGCAGGCTGAGAGTGGGTGGTGGGCAGGCTGAGAGTGGGTGGT